GAAATTGGTAGCAACAGAATGGGTATAGAAGTGGGTTCTTCCCAGCACCTCTAGATGAGAGCCCAGACTGTTTGATACTCTGACTTTAGCGTTTTGAAAACTAAAGCAGAGAGCCCAACGGAGCCTGCCGGACTCTGAACCATAAGTTCTACAGAACCATGAGCTAATAAATGGGTGTGTTCTAAACCACTAATTTTATGGTAACCTGTTACGGAGCAATAGAAGACTAATATGCCTCTTATGCCCTGTTCAGTGTTGACCTCAACAGCACCTTCTAGGTCTAGGGGACTCATGTAATATATATAATATATATATATATATTTTTTTTTTCCAAGACAGTCTTGCTCTGTCACACAGGCTGGAGTTTGGTTGTAGCTCACTGCAACCTCCGCCTCCTGGCTTCAAGCAATTCTCCTGCCTCAGCCTCTCGAGTAGCTGGGATTACAGATACATACCACCATGCCCGGCTAATTTTTGTATTTTTAGTAGAGACAGTGTTTTACCATATTGAACAGGCTGGTCTCGAACTCCTGACCTTAAGCAATCTGCCCATCTCAGCCTCCCAAAGTGCCGGGATTACAGGTGTGAGCCACCACACCTGGTCTTTGACTCTATTTCTTGGGTCCTGCCTTTAAGAGGTATTGTGACATACCTTTGGGTTAATCACTAAGTATGTGACTTACTTCTGTCTCCTAGGCAGCATTGTAACATATTTCTGAGCCCATAACAGGGATAATGTGACCCTTCTCTTTTTGCCCTGCCCCAAGTGAAGATTGTGACATGTCACCAGGCCCTTTGTCTAGGCAATATGACTCTTCTCTCCTGCCTGGGCCCTGATTACAAGGGAGATTGTGACAATCACTGGGTCCATCACATAGATAATATGACTTTCTCTTCCTACCTGGGCCTGACTACAGAAAAGATTAAGACATATCACCGGGCCAAGCACCCACATGATGTCACTCGCCTGCCTGCATTCTGCCTACATTGGGTATTGTGACAAATCCCTGGCCAAGAACCAAGGTAACATGACTCACCTACCTGATTCCTGCCCACTGATGGGATTGTGATGTATACCTAGGTCCAGCTCACAGGCATGGTGATAACTGTCATACGTGGACCCAGCCAATAAGAGAGATTTTTGCTCTTAGGCTTATTACAACAGGTATGCTTCTGGGTATTCTCCATACAGAGAGGTCACAGACTATTAGGACGCTCATGCATATTTTATAAAGACCTTGGGTGGTACAAAGATGTTGTCACAGGCCAGTGCACAAGTGAAATTTGCACTCCCATAGGCACACCCAGCCAGTAATTAAGATGTTCACCCTCAACGCATGCATACAGCCCACTCTTGAGGTTCTCAATCTCACAGCTGGTAGCGGTCAAAATTTGTAATTGTGACTCTCATATGCGGATTTGATTGACAGGTAAAATTATAACTTTTTTTTGTTTTTTTGAGATGGAGTCGTGCTCTGTCACTCAGGCTGGAGTGCAGTGGCATGATCTCAGCACACTGCAACCTCCACCTCCCGGGTTCAAGCGATTCTTCTGCCTCAGCTCTTGGACAAAACTTCAGCACTCCTGCTACAGTGTCTGCCCTACTAAGACACTGTGTGCAGGTGGAGTTGAGGCTCTTATGTATGGACCTGTCTACTGTTGAGATTGTGAATTGCATGCGTAGATTCAACTCACAGGAGGTGTTGACTCACAAACCTCCAGCTGGGACATGTGCAGGATTAGAAATTTTATTTCTGGATCTTTCTTCGGGTATGATTGTGACATATACCTTTGCCTAGCACCTGATTGCTTTTACATTTTTGCCTGGGCCCAGTCTACAGTTGAAATTGTGACATATACTTGGGCTACATAGGTGATGTGATGCTCCTGCCTGGGCCCTGCCTTCAGAAGAAATTGTTACATATCTCTGGGCCAATCACCTGGTGATGTGACTCTTTCCTTCTTTCTAGGCCCAACTTATAGAAGGCATGGTGACAGATCTCTGGGCTCATCACCTAGGAGATGTGACTCTACAATCCCAGCTGGGCCGAGCCCCACTGAAGATTGTGACATATTACTAAGCCCATAAACTAGGTGACATGACTCTGCTCCCGGGCCTAAGCCACAATTAAAGGGGACATTGAGACATATTGCTGTGCCCAGAACCTATGTGATGTGACTCTCCTTTCCTGCCCAGGCTATGCCTACAAAAGAAATCATTACATATCACAGAACCAAGATCCCAGTTGATGGAACTCTCCTCCTGGGCCCTGTTCACAGGGGAAATATTGGCATATTCCTAGCCTAGCTCCCAGGTGTTGTGAACTTCTGCGTAATCCCTGACCGTATGTGAGATTGTGACATATACCTCAGCCCAACTCACAGGCGTAATGATGACGGTCTTACCTGGACCAGGACAACAGAAAAGGTTTTGACTCTTCTAAATAGGCTTATGGAAATAGGCTATGTACTGGGTCTTGTACTTGTAGAAAGGTCAGAGATTACAACACTCGTGCATATTTTATAAAGTTCCTGAGTGGCACAGAGAGTGTCATAACAGGGCTCAGCACGCAGGTGGGATTGGGACTCTCATAGGCACAGCCAACAGTAAGGGTTGTCACTTTGCCACATGGACATAGCCCAGTCACTGCTGAGGTTCTGAATTTTACACTCAGAGACAGTCAAAAGTTGGAACTGTGACTCTTACATGTGCATCTGTTCCACAAATGCTTCAGCACCAGGTGATGTAACATGTTTTCTGGTTCACACCCACAGGTGTGATTTTGACATATACCTTTTCCTAGCACCTGAGCAATTTGCCACTTTAGCCTGGGCTAATCCCACAAATAGAATTGTGACATATACATGGCACAAGCACCTAGGTGATGTAACTCTTACCTCGGTGCTGTCCTCAGAGGGGACTGTGATATATCACTGGGCCCAGCACCTGGTGATGTGGATCATGTTGTTTTCCCTGAGCCCTGCCTCAGTGGGGATTATAAATATCCCTGAGCCCTGTATCCATGTGATATGACTCTCCTGCCTGGGTCCTGCCCACAGAGGCATTGTGACATCTCTGGGCCTATCCCTTAGGTGATGTAATCCTCCTTTTGCGCCCAAGTGCTGCGTTCAGGAGGGATCGTGACATATGCCTGGACCAAGCGCCTGGGTGATGTGACACTCCTGCATGAGCCCTGCCCTAAGGGGATATTTTTACATGTTGCTGAACTCAGCATCAAGGTGATGTGACTCTACTCTCCTTTGCAGGCCCTGCCCACAGAGGGCATTAAATCATTTCACTTGGCTTAGCACCAAGAATTTGTTACTCTCCTACCGGGACCTTTCCCACAGGGGACACCTAGATGATGTAATTTTTCTTCCTGGTTCCTGCCCAGAGTTCAAATTGTGACATAGATCTGGGCCTTAAGTCAGGTTAAGTAATAACTCTCATACCTGGACCAAGACAATAAAGATTGTGAATCTTGTACCTAGGCTTAGAACAGTGGGTACATGTTCCTGACCCAGCTCCCAGGTGATATGACATATTACTGGCCCCAACTATCAGGTGATGTGACTCTCTTGTCTGGGATCTGTTAACCAAGGGCATTGTGACATCTTTTTTTTTTTTTTCCCAGATAGAGTATTGTTCTGTCACACAGGCTGGAGTGCAATGGTGTGATCTCAGCTCACTGCAACCTCTGTCTTCCAGGTTCAAGTGATTCTCCTGCCTCAGCCGCCTGAGTTGCTGGGACTGCAGGCATGCGCCACCATGCCTGGCTAATTTTTTTGTATTTTTAGTAGAAATGGGATTTTACCATGTTGGCCAGGCTGGTCTCAAACTCCAGACCTCAAATGATCCACCCACCTTGACCTCCCAAAGTGCTGGGATTACAGGCATGAGCCACAGCGCCTGGCGTGGCATATTTCTAAGCTCAGCACTCAAGTGCTGTGACTCTCCTGACTGGGCCCTCCCCACAAGGAGAATTGTGACAGCCCTGGGCCCAGTCCTTAGGCCATATGACCCTCCTTTTCTAGCTAGGCCCAGCCCACAAAAATAATTGTGACATATCACTGGGCCCAGCATCTAAGAGGTGTTATTTTTCTGCCTCGGCCCTGCCAACAGAAATACTTTTTACATCTCTCTGCTGAGCTTGAACCTGGGAGGCAGAGGTTGCAGTGACCTGAGATTGTGCCATTGCACTCCAGTATGGGTGACAGAGTGTGACTCCATCTCAAAAGAAAACAAAACAAAAAAAGTTCATATAATTTTAATGTTTTTAACTTCGAAAACGGTTTTTGTTGGCCCAACATATGATCTATCATGGATAATGTTCCCTCTGTGCTTGATAAGAATGTGTATTCTCGTACTGTTATGTGAAATTGTCTGTATATGTCTGGTAGGTGAAGTTGTTGTACAGCACTATCCAAACATTTTATTTTCTTTCTAGTTTTCTGTCTGAATAATCTATTGTTTTAAGTAGAGTAACAAAGTCCTCTATTATTGTCATATTTGTCTGTTTTGTTCTAAAGTTCTTTTTATATGTTTATATATTTATATGCTTCAATGTTGGGTGCATACATTTTTAAATTGTTATATCTTTTTGACAGATTATTCTCTTATTATTATAGAGCGATCTTTGTCTCTTGGGACAGATTTTTTTTCTAGAAGCCTATTTTGTCTGATATAAATATAACCACTCTTACACTGTTTCAATTATCATTGGTATGGGTTTTTTATATTCTTTAGCCATTAACCTATGTCTGCCCTTAAATCTAAAATAAGTCTCTTGTGTGACACATACTATTAATTTAAAAAACATATTTAGATATTCTGTGAATCTTTTATTTCATTTTCTGCTTTCATAACAGAATATCCTAGAGTTGATATTTTATTTTTTTAATTTTTATTTGTTTGTTTATTTATTTGTTTATTTGAGACAGAGTTTTGCTCCTGTTGCCCAGGCTGGAGTGCAATGGCACAATGTTGGTTCACTGCAACCTCCGCCTCCTGAGTTCAAGTGATTCTCCTGCCTCAGCCTCCCAAGTAGCTGAGATTACAGGTGACTGTCACCACACCCGGCTAATTTTTGTACTTTTAGTAGAGACGAAGTTTCACCATGTTGACCAGTCTGGTCTTAAACTCCTGACCTCAGGTGATCCACCCGCCTTGCCCTCCCAAAGTGCTAGGATTACAGGTGTGAGCCACCCCGTCCAGCCTTAGAGTTGGTATTTTATAAAGAACAGAAGTTTCCTTAGCTCACAATTTTAGATTGTGGATGACCAAAAGCATCCCATTGACATCTGAAGAGAATAGTATTTGCACATCACAAAATGGCCAAAGGCATGAAGATGACTGAAGGTATACACCAGGGAGCTTACTTTTATAATATACCCACTTTCCTGCTAACCCACTATGAAAATAATGACATTAAATCATTTATGAGAGTGGATCCCTCATGCCATAATATCTTTTTAAAGTTCTAACTTTATAATTTTATAACAATGGCAGTTAAATTTCAACATAAATTTTGAAGGGGACATTCAAACCATAACAATGTGTTTCGATACTTAAAAAGTTATTGATAGGTAACTACTTCCTACTGCCATTTGGTAATTTTTGTCTGATAATTTAGTATTATACTTTAGTATTTTTGCCATTAAAAGTAATGGGAAATTGCTTTTGCACCAACCTGATAATGTCTTTTTCTTTTCATGCTGTCTTCTCTTGTGTTTTGTTGAATTTTTTTTTTTTTTTTTTTGCTTTTGTTGTGTTATATGCTTTGATTCTCCTTCCTTCCCTCCTTCCTTCCTTCCTTCCTTCCTTCCTTCCTTCCTTCTTTCCTTCCTTCCTTCCTTCCTTCCTTCCTTCCTTTCCTTTCCGTTCCTTTCCTTTCCTTTCCTTTCTTCTTTCTTTCTTTCTTTTTTTTTTTTTGACGGAGTTTCACTCTTTTTGCCCAGGCTGGAGGGCAATGGCACAATCTCGGCTCACCACAACCTCCGCCTCCCAGGTTCAAACAATTCTCCTGCCTCGACCTCCCGAGTAGCTGGGATTGCAGGCATGCGCCACCACACCCGGCTAATTTTGTATTTTTAGTAGAGGTGGAGTTTCTCCATATTGGTCGGGCTGGTCTCCAACTCCCAATCTCAGGTGATCTGCCCACCTCGGCTACCCAAGTGCTGTGATTATAGGCGTGAGACACCGCACCCAGCCCCGTAAGTCAGACTTTCCTATTGCCTATAACAGTTACTTATGTGATATTTGCCTGTATAAATATTGCCCCATTTTGTTTATTAGTTATCTTGTTTATTTCTTTTCTTGGGTGGTTGTCAGTGTCTTATTGTCTGGATGAGTAGTCAAAAAGGCACTCTAAAATTACCGTCTATTGTTTGAATATATGTTATTGTGTGAGAAAAACACTTGTTATACTAATTTTTAAAAATGTAGCTATTTTTTGAGAGATGTAAATATTGGTGATTAAAAACATACAATTTTAGAGTTGCATACTTACACTATATGTTTAGTGCTTTTAAGTATATTTACATTATTTTGAAACAGATCTCTAGATCATTTTTCTCTTTAAAAAGTGCACTTTAATGTCCAATAAGCTGTCTTCTCCTTCTCTCTTTTCCACTTCTGAAAACATTTTACTTCTGTTTTGCCTATCTCTTTTTGACCATCTTATTTTAGTCAACATATTATTTCCCACATCTTTAATTTTAACAAGTAAGTTATTCTCCTCTCAGTTCAGATTCGTCAGGAAATTGAATCATATCCAGAATAATTAAAACTGAAAGAGTAATATGTTTGTTAAAGCAATGAAGATTGTCATACTAATAAACCCTAAAATTTCAAAGGCTTAGCAAAATAACACACTTTCTGCTTACATCACCATCCCCTTTGGTTTATTTCTGGTTAAAAAAACCTAACCAGAAGTTTGTGATTATTCAGAGTTTGTGATTATTCGGAGTATGTGTAAGTTTGTGATTATTCGGAGATTAGATTTTAAAAAAAATTTTCTATCTGCTTTCTCTCTTTCTTCAGCCAATAGATGAAGAAAGATGCAAAGAAGACACATTTGCTTTTTATCCACACATCACTTCCAGTCACTTTGCTGAGCAAAGTCAATGTGAACAGAGTTGAGAATAGCAGTTTTCGGGCAGGACAGCCACTTCTTAGCAAAAAGATGGCACAATAAAAGTATAAATCTTTCATGGAAGGCTAACGTATTTTCAGCAAATTCAGCATATACATGAATAAAATTCTTGCTGTAAAATATTCATTTTGTTGATTCCTGTTGAGCTCAGGTAATATTGGATAGTAAGTAAAAAATTATTTGAAATAGAAATTTTGTGAATAAAGTTATTCTGTCAAAGTAAAACCATTTTTATCTCATACTAGTTGTCTTATCTGTAGTTGTACAATAGCAAATGCTACTTTTTATTAACAATTGTACTTCATATAATTATTCCATTTGTATCACCCTTCTTCACTGTTTCAATGTCTTCTGCACTTCATATCAGTGAAAAACAGGCCATCTGGTCCAGGAAATAGGTGTTTTGCTAGTGCTACTTTAAGAGTAATGATGAAGAGCACTTGTCTGAGCTGTTCCCACGTGGCAAACTGTGATTTGGCCTAAAGTACACACATTTATTATTTTCCTCTAAATGTACTGATGAAATAAAATTCTTAGCTAAGAAAGGCTTGATCTCATTCAAATATGTTTTATGAAATTTGGTTGACATTTCAGTGTCTCTGAGTTAAATGGAATATTGAAAATATCCATGAATCCAAGTAGAGTGTTATACATGAACAATCTTTTACTAAAAGCCTTTCTGAGGCAGAGTAAGAGTCATAAAGTTTCTCTATAATATCAAAGAAATGTGTTAATTCTGTTCCCGGTAATCAACTCTGAACACAGAGCATTCTCAGTTCCCAGTATTCACCCTGAGTCATTCAGGAAAAACTGGTATCTCTGTAAGGAGACAGAAAAAGGTGTTCGGGGGAGGGTCACAATATTGCACATAAATGCTTTCTACATGCACCTATTAGGATATTAATCTAATTGGTCTATCATTTGCATGGCTAGATTGTTACTGAATGTAGTCATACTATTTTGTTTTTTGCAGCTAATGACATCTGTTACCTGTAAGTTTCATACAATAACTTGCTCAGCTGAGACATGAACCTTTGTTAATTTACCCTCAATTGAGGGACTAGATTTGCAATTTCCAATCTTTCAATGTTAAAGCAAATCAGAGAAGAGTAGTGTGAGTATGTAGTATGCATTTTCTTGCCTAACTATCAAAATTCTTCTCATATTGCCTTGGACACTCTAGGCAGCCACCTAAAAAATATTCCCTCCTAATTTCTTAGCCAGGATATTAGATTTCACAATGTCAAGGACTTGTGATTGGGCTAAGCCAAAATCTTGTCTTTGCTTCTTGACCATTTCAAAGAGCATGGCAATTATGCCAAGCCATTGAAAGATGTGGTTCTGATGACTCTTATTTTATTTCAAATGTTTTCTCTAATTGTTAGTCTTATTGCATTAATCTAAAAGAGAAACTATCTACATCACAATTTATGCATTCAAGAAATATTCATGTTAAGATGTTCAAAGTTTGATATTCTATTACAGAATAGTAGAATTCTCTGAAATTTCAATGTCAAATTATTATTAATAAATTCATTATTTTTTCAATGTTTTCCAAAGTTGAAATTAAAGAATTGGGTATGTTTTTTCATGATAAGTTCAATTCTAGGAAGGTACTTACTGGTCTGCCTGGTATTTTTGTCATGAATTATGTAAAACTGAGTTAACAGAATGGAACAGAAATGCTAATTTAATCAGAATGAGAATGAATTCAGCCGTGTTGGTAGACTATTGTTATCCCAGAGGCTGATCATTTACTTCAGCTGTGTAGACATTGCTTCATAATGCCAGTGAGCCCTTTCAACCAAGTTGCCTTTGTTTCCCATTGATGTGGTCATGTTCTTGTCTCTGTTTTTCTTAAGCTGTCCCAGATGAGGGGTGATTATTTCTTGCATAAGTGAGATCTCTTCTCTTTTCTCTGCCATGAGATCCTCCAATTATCCCTACTGAAAGCAACATGTTGAAGGCAGAAATGGAGGCAATATAGAAATATATCCGTTGCCATGTGGCCACCATAAGCAGCTTACAACCTTGCTTACCTAGAAGTTTGATTAATTTCAGAGAAGCAGGGGTGTTTTTCCATGATGTGCTTTTTCTTTTAAAAACACCGCTGATTAAATTTATTCTAATCAAGATAGTCTCTCTTATGACAAACAGGGAGCCAATACATTAGTAACCTAATTATATGAATAATGTCCCACTACAGTCACACATTTTGTCACACTCAAGAGAAAAGGATTACACAGCAGGTGTGCACTGAAGTGGGAACCTGAGAGTCATCTTAGAATTTTGTCTACCCACCTGAATAGATATCTAAAACAACCTTTCAGTTGCTTTTGTTGTCTTTCTAAGTAAACAAAGACATCATCTGCAAGTAATAATTAATTTCACTGCTTTCCAATTTTATTCATTAAAATTATTATCTTTTTCTGGCTTATATGAAGTATTTTTCATTTATATTATACATTCACATACATACATATATAACAATACAAATGTATCCATTTTAATTTTTGTTAAATTTTTAAGAATGGATGGGCCAGGCACAGTGGCTCACGACTGTAATCCCAGCACTTTGAGAGGCCGAGGCGGGCAGATCACGAAGTCAGGAGATCGAGACCATGCTGGCTAACATGGTGAAACCCCATCTCTACTAAAAAGACAAAAAATTAGCCGGGAGTGGTGGCGGGCACCTGTCAGTCCCAGCTACTTGGGAGGCTGAGGCAGGAGAATGGCGTGAACCCAGGAGGTGGAGCTTGCAGAGAGCTGTGATCACACCACTGCACTCCAGCCTGGGTGACAGAGCAAAACTCCGTGTCAAAAAAAAAAAAAAGAAATGGATGTTAAAGGTAACCTCTTTTCTGTTTGAAAGTGGTTTTATTGTTCTATTTAAGAGTATTATCCCTGGAGTCAAAGTTGCTTGTGTTTTAATACTGGCTCTGCTATTATGAGCAAGTTATTTCTCTCTCTGGCTGTTCTTTCTTTATAAATTGAAGATAATAATAATACCTTTGTTATTAAGTTACTGTATCTATTAGTCCATTCTCACACTGCCATAAGGACACACTAGACTAGGTAAATTATGAAGGAAAGAGATTAATTTGACTCACAGTTCAGCGCAGCTGGGAAGGCCTCAGGAGACTTACAATCATAATGAAAGGGGAAACAAACACATCCTTTTTCATATGGTGATAGGAAGAGAAAACATGTGAGCAAAAGGGAGAAAAGCCCCTTATAAAACCAACGGATCTTATCCGAACTCACTCACTATCATGAGAACAGAATGAGGGTAACTGATCACCGGATTCAATTACCTCCCACGAGGTGTCTCCCATGACACATGGGAATTATGGGAACTGAAATTCAAAATGACATTTGGGTGTGGACACAGCCAGACCACATCAATGTGACAGCAAAATTTATTAACACATGTATAGTGTTATGGTTAGTGCTCAGTATAAATTAGTTATTAACGAGATATTTATATGCTGAATTATGTTAATACATGCTTTCACACCAATATTTTTCCATTGCACATGAGTTTTCCAACCAATAGATGAATATATATTTGAATTACAATTTTATTTTATTATTTTTATTTATTTATTTATTTATTTTTGAGACGGAATCTCACTCTGTCGCTCAGGCTGGAGTGCAGCGGTGCGATCTCAGCTCACTGCTAGCTCCGCCTCCCAGGTTTACACCATTCTCCTACCTCAGCATCCCGAGTAGCTGGGATTACAGCCGCCTGCCACCACGCCTGGCTAATTTTTTTGTATTTTTTTTAGTAGAGATGGGGTTTCACCGTGTTAGCCAGGATGATCTCAATCTCCTGACCTCGTGATCCACCTGCCTCAGCCTCCCAAAGCGCTGGGATTACAGGCGGGAGCCACTGCACCCGACCTACAATTTTATTTTAAAGGTGATATATACATTTAGAATAATAGTGTACACAATGGAATACTATGTAGCCTTAAAAAGGGGCAAATATTGTCAATTGAAAAAATAAGGATAAATTTAGAGAATATTTGCTAAGTACAATAACCCAGCCACACAAGAAAAATATTGCATGATTTCACTTATGTAAAATCTAATAAAGTTGCATTTGTTATTTACAAAGTAGAATGTGGAATAATTGGTTACCAGAGGCAGTTGCTGAGAAAAGAATGCAAAGTTTTACAGACAGGATAAAGAGGTTTTGAAATCTATTGCATAGTAGAGTGATTATAGTCAATGATAATGTATGTATATTTCAAAATAACTAACAGTAAGTTTTAATATCTCACCACAAAAAATACTAGGTAAGTGAAGTGATAGATATGTTAATGACGTAGTCCATATTTTATACATATATCAAAACATTACTCTGTACCCCATAAATGTATACAATTTTGATTAGTCAACCAAATGTACCAGTAACACATGTATTTTTTTTAAAAAAATTAACTTTAAAAATTGAGCCAGAGAAATAAATGTATCTTCATATCTTATAATTTCAGGAAAGACATACATATATTTTTAATTACACATGGCTTGCTTATTTAGTGATGTAGGTAAGTAAACTTTTGATATTGTGAATAGTCTGAACCTACCACTCAATAATAAAATGTTAATTATTACTGTTATTACTGTTCAGAATAATACAATCCTTCCTTCCTTCCTTCCTTCCTTCCTTCCTTCCTTCCTTCCTTCCTTCCTTCCTTCCTTCTTTCTTTCTTTTCTTTCTTTCTTTCTTTCTTTCTTTCTTTCTTTCTTTCTTTCTTTCTTTCTTTCTTTCTTTCTTTCTTTCTTTCTTTTCTTTCTTCCTTTCTTCCTTTCTTCCTTTCTTTTTTCTTTTCTTTTTTCTTTTTTCTTGCTTGCTTTTCTTTTTTCGAGATGGAGTTTTGCTCTTGCTGCCCAGGCTGGAGTGCTATGGTGTGATCTCAGCTCTGCCATCTCTGCCTCCCGGGGTCAACCAATTCTCCTGCCTCAGCCTACCAAATAACTGGGATTACAGGCATGTGCCACCATGTCCAGCTAGTTTTGTATTTTTAGTAGAGATGGGGTTTCTCCATATTGGTCACGCTGGTCTCAAACTCCCGACCTCAGATGATTCACCTGCCTCGGCCTCCCAAAGTGCTTG